TAATTAAAATGCTCATTATAAACATGCATGCAAATCGTTTTATTTGAATGTTATTTTATTATAGTTTTTATTAATAATTTAGAAATTTGCTTTTATTTTTATATTTGCAGGTCAATTTATGGCAATTTTGTTTTGTGCTTTTGTCATTTTTATTAGTTTTTGCTGTTTTTAGTAACATTTTGGAATACGTTTACATTAGTTAACATGAACTAACAGTGAAAAATACTTATAAAAACATATGAATCTTAATTAATAATATTAATGTCAGCATTTACGAATACATTATTAAAATTAAAAGTTGTTTGTTTTCATATTAGTTATTGGACCTGATCTAGTATGAACCAACAATGAACAGTTGTACTTTTATTTTTAAACATTGTTAGTTTCACACACAAGATGATTACAAGTGGATGAGTCAGAGCAGATCTGGAAAATGTGTCTGGAGAAAACCAGACAATTCCAGGAAAGCGCGCGTGTGTGTGTGAGAGAGAGAGAGACTGAATAATGGCTTATAACTGTAAAATATTGCAGTTTACTTCATGTGTATGAATTAGTTAGCATTGTGAATTGTATGTGGTATGTTGTTTCTTTCTGATATAGTACAGTTATTCTGTTGTTATACTGACATCATCCCACAAACATCTGAACGCAGAAAACTCCCTGCCTGAGGAGATGATGCAAATCACAAAAGTGTGTGTGTGTGTGTGCGCTGAATCTTAATGATCTGCGTAATGTCCAGTACAACAGAGCGCGCTCGTGTAATACTGTATCCTACAATGCAATGTGCTCAACTGCATCTTCTATTTCCAGTGTGGCGAATGAACCAGAAGAAAGAAAAAAAAATCATTAATTAAAATGCTCATTATAAACATGCATGCAAATCGTTTTATTTTAATGTTATTTTATTATAGTTTTTATTAATAATTTAGAAATTTACTTTTATTTTTATATTTGCAGGTCAATTTATGGCAAATTTGTTTTGTGCTTTTGTCATTTTTATTAGTTTTTGCTGTTTTTAGTAACATTTTGGAATACGTTTACATTAGTTAACATGAACTAACAGTGAAAAATACTTATAAAAACATATGAATCTTAATTAATAATATTAATGTCAGCATTTACGAATACATTATTAAAATTAAAAGTTGTTTGTTTTCATATTAGTTATTGGACCTGATCTAGTATGAACCAACAATGAACAGTTGTACTTTTATTTTTAAACATTGTTAGTTAATGTTAGTGATGTTAACAAATGGGACCGGATTGTAAATTGTTACCAGTATAAATATTGCTATTTAGTTTTAATTTATTTTTCATTTAAGTTTTGGCTTTAGTTCAGTTTTAGTTTTATTTGCAGTTGGTGATTTTAGTGCTTCAACTTTCATTTATTTCAGTTAGTTGCCAGGACAGAAATGTTCTTAAATAGTTTTAATTAACGATAGTAACCCTGAGGCAAATGAGGTCATGTGAACACAGTGTAGCTCACTACTGTTTATCATGCATATTGCATAAAGTTTCACATACTATTTAAAAGAAACAGTATGCAGTATGTACTTTTTTTAATACTTTTGAACCCTGATCTTCACCGTCTGTGTGTGTGTGTGTGTGTGCAGCTCATCAGAACCGTGTGTCGGACCTCATCTTCTCTCTGGAGAGTCAGTGGGTGATCAGTACAGGTCATGATAAAAGCATCTGCTGGATGAGCACTCAGAGCGGCTCTATGCTGGGACGCCACAGCTTCGGCTCATGGGCTTCCTGTTTACAGTATCCTTCACTTCAGTCTCTCTCTGAGAAGTATTTAAAGGCATTTTTAAATTATATGTACATTATATTATATTGCTTTCTGTGAATCTCAGTGGTTTCTATCATGGTAGTGTGCAGTGCTGGATGTGACGTGTCAATCAATATTTTTCATATATGAAGAGTTTGGTTCCAAAACGCTATAAATCCATTTGATTAATTTGAGTAAATATGTGTTTTCTTTATCAAGAAAGTGGCGAGATGAAAACCACTATTTTCTGTTTCAAACTGTCACGTAGCATCTTTAGGTTATAATAACATTCAAAATTCAAATCCAGATTTTGATTTTCAAAGATTTATTATAAAATTTTATTATTTTTTCCCAAAATGCAATAAATCCATTGAATCAATGTAAAAGTTATTTTCTATATTGAAACTTGAGAATGCACAACATAGTAAGTTGATCCACATATGACAGCCTCTGAACTTGGTCAATACTAATCTTATATACAGGCACTGGACTAAAAATACATTCAATCAGTCATCACTCCCAAAATGAATTCA